TTTCAACCATAGTATTTACTAATGATATGGTTAACTGAGCTAAGAAATAAATATTTATTAATTAGGTCACTTAAAATTGTTTTCAATCGTTTTGTTGCTCAATAGAATCAATTCAGTTTAATGTAATTGAATGATGTTTGATTAGACCAAGTGTTTGTTGAAATCACTGTGTTGATTCAAGTTACACGAATAGCTTAGTGAATAAGGCCTTCAACTTTCGATCATAAAGTCCCAGGTTCGAACCATTCTTCATTGATTTTGATTTGCGTAAGCAGTCAGTATCATCAGCCTTCATACTTATAATATAACTTTAAGTTAAGTATACAAATTTGTGCCTGGTTAGTCAATAATAACGAATAATAACATTCACTTCTAATATTTACCATCATAAAAGAAAGAAATACATTTGGTAATACCTGACTGCCTTTATTTTTGTCAATGAATAAAAAATGATTGCTTGTGTGCTGATTACTCAATAAATCATCGTTTAGTCAAACAAAAGTATTTCCGCATTGGCATGGGAATCAGCATGAAAAGGATGTATCTCAATATAGGTCCGTGTTTTTGTTATTTTCAATTTGTATTAAAGAATAGAACAATAAATAAATAAATAAGAAAGTTTTCACTATATAACACGTGACACAAAAATCGAATACTATGAAGCATTCAGTGTAAGCATCTAAACGTAGCTGACTTAAAGTTGTGGCATTGATTAATGATTAGTGTTTAGCATGTCAAACTTGTTACATTGATTAAATGATACTGTAGAAAAGTTAAAATGATTTGATATAAATTCTGAATGAGAAAATAAGCCATACAAATGTTTTAATTAGTTTTTTTTCAAGTTATTTAGTTCTGAAATAATATAAAATATCCCATAAATAAAATTATGGTATGATATAAAATACTGAAGTGAAACCCACAAAAAAAATTGAATGAGGTTATTCAGTACAGTGGATTAATTGATACAGATGGGTCTCATCTCAGCGGCCAAGAGGTGAAGCATCAGCGAGCGCAACCTAAAGCCTTCGGCTAGATTCCCGCTTACGCGGTCGTAGATGTATACTGCTGATGAGTTACATGTAGTACGAAACATGTGTCCAGTTTTTTCAGGTTTCTAATTGTGGTCAAATAATGATCGATTCATAATTACAATGATTATTCTATCTATCGAAATTTTCAAGTAACATGCTTAAGTATTCATTATTATTTTTATATATAAATCTGTATCTAATATCAACTAAATATCATTTGACATGTATTAACACTTATAATAGTGTGAAACGGAATATCTAAACATTAGTCGGGAAAAACATTGTTTTCTTATTGCTCAGTTTTTTCAGAATAGTTGAGCACCAATTTACTGATACATTTTTATTGCTGCATACCACAAAACATTTTGAAGAAGGCAATTCATAGTCCGTGAATAAAGAAAGACGAGCTGCATGAGATAGAAACAGGAATAAACTATATATATATATATATATATATATATATATATATATATATATATATATATATATATATATATATATATATATATATATATATGGCTTCGAGGCCCCTTAAACAAGAGTGTCCGGTTGGGTTATGTGATCCAGTGCTAAATGGTACTGGACGTCAATGATGTCTGCCCACTTATGTAGTGGGATTAACCCTGCTTGGCTGGGTGCTTGCGCTTGTTCGAGTTCATGATATCCTACCCATGGGAGGGTGTACGTTCCGTCTGACCTTGTGAGACAAACTCGATCTTTAGCTTCATGTGGAGTTTGGTGGCTTCTATCGATTGTATCAGCGCAAGGCAGTTGGAGGCCAGACGGTTGGAACGGCTGCTGGTCAGTGCACTGCTGGGTGGCTCGGTAATCCGTTCGGGGAGCCAGGTCTATCTGGGTAAGCCCACCTTGCCACCATTGCCGATTGGTAATTGTGGGGAGTGGATTGAATGGAGGGATCGAGTTGATTCATAAGTGCCCGAACGGGGGTCACTGCTCGTGCGCGTGCTTTATGGACTTCCACCTGTCTGCAGACCCATCTAGTCAACATGTGCGTTCCCGTATGGGGCAGGGCTTTTGTGGGAATCCTTGTGTTGCTTCAAATGCAACTGCGTGCATGTGCAGCAGGCTTGCTGGTTAACCAAGAATATTAATATATATATATATATATATATATATATATATATATATTACTAGTTGATTTAAATATTTAATCGTCTGTAAATAGCAAACACTTTGTATCATGGCCCATTTCCTGTGGGTAAAAGAAAATAATTTATTCATCATCTATACTTGAATTGAAAGGAAGAATTAGTTAGACAATTTTCTCTGATTCACTTAAAGTCACAGTTATCATTGATGAATTAAAAAAAGTGCAAGTTGAAAGAGAAAAAAACGAAAAATGAAATTGTACGTGACATTTTATGAATGATCTAGATTCTGTACAATATGAAGAATAAGTCAGGTGAATTCATCTTTGAAAGGATAACAGTAAATATCTTAGTGTAATTAACAGTTGTTTTTTTTAATTGCTTATACAAAACTTTGTCTCTAGCAATGAACATTAAAAACATTCGCATAATAAAGATAATTATGTTTTCATATCACATGAATATTTAATTATAAATGACTGAATGGTTATATTCATTTAGCCATGTTTGAATTACTTAGAGAAGATAGATTCGCATTTTGTTTGTTAACCCGCTAACTTGGTCAATACTTATTGGTCGCAACGTTCAACAAGACAGTCTCAGAACATATAACCTTAGATTATCAAATATTTTGATCAGTTTTTTACTAAACTTTGTTTACCAAGTAGAAGCTTTCATCACAAAAGATGTGAACCAACTAATACGCGGAACAGTTTATTAAATCACTCTTGATATAGTAGCTGAATTTAAAAGAAATTTGTTCTTGTCTGATATCTAAAAACGTGGTTTGAATTTTTTTTACTTTCTACATTTACTTGACTTTCAATAGCTACAGTACCTAATGGTTCTTAAGTATCGTCTGTAATCTGATTGTTAAGTTAACTTTAAAGACACTTACTCTGTTAAAAATTTAATATATTTCGTATGTTCGACTTTATCTCATTTCTTAAATCACTACGTATACTTTGGTATCAAACATTATATGTATATATATCCGAATTCATATCAAATGGCTATGATTATTATCAACAATAAAAGTCATTTATTTGCTCAGCATTATATTATATAGAATCAGCTAATCTAAACATGTTACCTTTTTCAAATATATCAGACACTAAAATAGTATTATTTATTTGGTAATTCAATAGGTTATTCATAGCTTTAAAATGGTTTCTCTAAGTTTAGGGAATTCAATTCTTATGTCTACATACTAGTTTGTATGTTAGGTGGAGTGTCAATTATATTTTCCTATATTAAATTCCTCCTATATTACATTTCCATTTTATAGTGTTAGTCTTAAACAAGTGAGTGAAGATTTGTAAATAGATCTATGTTACTATGGTGAATGAAAACTCATATTTAGAATAAAACATTTATTATATTAATTCTTCTATAAGTTAGTATAAGTAATCTTGTTTTCGACAAAGACAATTAATTTGAAAAATAAAGTGACTTTCAAAAATCCATTGATTACATATTTTCATTTCATGTTTTGTTTTCATAAACATTGTCTAAATTAATCATAACAAATAAGTGCCATTTTTAAATCCTCATTATTCTAAGATTGCATCAGAAGCCCATGGTAGTTAAAACATAAAATAATCCCTAATGTTTAGCCTACACTCATCGATGAGAAAATGACCTCGAAACTCACAAATGATTGAATATAAATCCTCAAAATAACATTATCCTAGTAGAAAATCATCTAAAAAACGCGCTCGATCAAATAGACATTTTGGAAATTATTATCAGTGACTTAAAAAAGAATTTCCAATGGGGTATTTTCTGTTCAAAACCAATCATTGGAAATTAAATCAATTTTCATGAATTTCGTGGATTTGGTGTTCAAAAGGAGATCTAGAAAAATAGGTACAAAATTAGTGAAAATCCTGGAAACTCAAAAACCAGAAATATAGTTTCCTTTTGATCTAACGCTATTTGTCCATAATTTTTTAGGTGTGGAATTAGACTTAGTACAATTCGAGGCTTTATCTCTGGAGTCGATATTATGTGATTATGAGCATAAAATCGACTAACTGGTTGTTGACGTTCATTATGAGAATTTAATTTTACAAACAACTGACTTGGACCTAACTTCATTATAGCAGCCAGTTAGGTTTAAAAACACACTGGTCGATGGATGTTAAAAAATGTAAGAACAGTAAGTGTACCACTAAACGTCTGCTAACCAATCAGAATTGAGACCCTTTAGCTAATCTAATAAAAGATAACGATTAGGTTTGTTTGTAGAGAAATGCTGGATATACAAGTCAAGTTTGGCTTCTAAACGGACGGTCTGAAAAAATTATTCACAATATGTATGTCCCTCTTCCCCTTAACAATAATTATTATAGACAAATTAATGAAACAGCTATCAATTTAGTTGATGTTTTTTCTTAGCAGAACTAGAAATCGCTCCTCTGATGTGGTTATGTTATAGACAAAACCGAATCGTTAATAACAGTCTATCGGATAACCTCATTATTTCACAATGCGTTCTTACACTATCTCCTACATACAGCAGAAGCTAAAAGGGTGCAAACCTGTAAACCTGATTCATGTGTTCACAAAAAGACACCTTCGTGTTATTCCCTTGCTGCATCTGACCTAACAAACGATTTTATTGACTTTTTGCATCCTTTATTTGTTTACCTTCATTCATCTTAAAGGCAATAACGAAAGTTTTTTAAATTTCTCTTTTGAAAAAGTGATATGTTTGGCAATCTTTTCTTTTTCAGGAGGAATAAGAAGCTGACCTGAAATTTATCTCGTAATCTGGTTAAATAACTATGATTTTAATATTTGTCAATGTTTGATAATCACTATTATCGTCACCAATTAGTGAAATAACAAATAAATGTCAAAAGCTAGACAACACTGGCGTCGTCGCGCTAATCCATCATTCTATATGATTACTAATGAAGAAGTTGTCGATAACCGTAGACATTCATCCAATGTTGATCCTGATAGGATACTTGGTGATTTCACTAATTTATCTGAGCAAAGCGACGGTAGTAAAGACAGAAATAATTTCATACGAAGTAAGTAATTTGATAATGGGTAGCTTTGAATAAATAAAAATAAAGTCAGTGCAATTAAAAACTGTTATGTCATTCAAAAAATATACGATGTTCTGTAATGAACGTATTATACAAAAGAAGACTTTTATTGGAGCTTGAGTGACAAATGATGAAGTTAATCTGTTGTTATTTAAAGTGTCGACAGAACACCATGAACAATAATTCAGTGTCATAAAGAACATTTACTTGATCTGAAATGGCTCCAATTTTCATTCTTAATATCACCAATCTTTCATAATTTTTGTACTTTCATAGTTAATATCAAGGTTTACAGAAGGCAGTAGGCGTTCTAATAGTAAAAAGCAAATCGAAAAACTCTATATGGTTTCTGATTTACTGAAACAGAATTACAAGACTTTTGAATGACAAAATAGGTTAAGACCTACCTCAAATTAATGTTTTTAGTTGGTTAGACGCCATAGTTTCACTACTTTAAACAACGTGAAATTACCGTAGAACAATCGGAAGTTACTTAATTCACTGATATATATATATATATATAATGGAAGGTCATTTAGTCAATGTATATTTCAGTTTTAAGACAGAAAACTATCTTCATAATGGGAGAGATTTGAATTACTCATCAATGATAACCTTGCTAGATTTTTGCTATTCGCTACTTGCTATTTAATGCAATCTGTGTAGATTTGTTTGAAAAAGCCATTTTTGATAGATTCTTACGGGAACGAAATATTCGTAGCTCGCAGTGAAACTAGTGATGATTGCTTTATCTTATCAGCAAATGGGTGTACTTCAATTGTATTGATTTTATTTACTTCGAGACTCGAACCTAATGCCGAATAAACGGAAACGGACACACATAGAAATCCAGTAAATATTTTCAGTTATGGGATAATCCAAATTTTTTCTAATTATGGCACAACTACCATACGCTTAATACAAGTGGAAAACTTTCTGAACTCAGTGGCTTATTGGAGTGAAGCGAAAAGTATTGTGTTCAATGATCTAAATGAACATCAGACCTGTGGTAAAGACACATCTAATTAGGGAATAATGAATAGGTTGAAACGAGCTTTCTGGATTCAACAATTATATATAACCTGATTTAAATGACAGAAATAGACCTTTCATGACTTTCATATTAGTTGCTTTTGTTACTCTAATATATGTTATTTACCAGACAGACAGACAGATACAACGCAGAACTTCGTACGTAAGTACATCAGTTCAGGTTGCCATGCCCCATCAGCACAGAGACGCAGCTGTCAGTTCAAATCCAAGAGTGATAGCAATAATAGAAGTATTAGCGGTAATGGATAAGATTAGGGAGCGAAGATATGATTCGAGAAGTATAATTCAGTAAGATAGATTTAGAAGGAGAAAGGTAGAGGTTATGAGGAATGCAGAAGCTTAACATTTCATAGAACACAAAGAGTGGATGCACCTGCGCCGTTGCAAACGATTCTGAGCCATTTCGTTCAAGGTCTCTAACTATTGGTGACTTTCGTCTCGCGGACCTCAACCAGGTAGCCTACATCTACATTTGTCTGGTTGTCCGAGGGAAACACCTTACTGCTGTCACACCCCTCTGCAGTCAGCAGTAAGACTTCGCCCTCAGACCTTGTGTAGCTGCTTTTAGTCTCATCGTTCTCCAATCAACCTGAGTGGCATGATAGAACCTTCAGGAACATATGTTCCAGCAAGTATAGCTCGGTTGGGTCATGACGATAGTCAAGCCCGACCACCACGTCAAGATAGTAGCTACGGTCGGGATGTTATTTACCGTTCATATTCAGTCTTCAATCCATGATGATACATTTTGAAGAGCGGAATGATTAGGCAGCATCATCTTACCAGGAGAACGCAAACCTTATTTACATTCATATACGATTACACGTTACTTTTGACCATCATAATCAATTTTTGTCTTACTAAAATCAGTATGCATGATTTATAAATATCACTGATCACATCTAAAGGATAATACAATTAAAAATAAAACAGGAATTTACATTTTTAGTAAGTTAAACGAAACGTACAATACAAAATGAATTGATAGACTGTTTTTAGGATACTCGAATTATCCCTTCGAAAATACACGAGTTAATTTCGAACTTGCCCATCCTTATGAAGTGATACACTTTAGAACTAGCATTCTGAAAAAAATTTCGTTTTTCTATATTTATCTCTAACGAAAAATCAACTACCAATCCATATGAAGTGATATAATCTACTACTAAATTAGTCAGTCAATCATAATTAAACTGAATCTCTTTGCATCCAGTGTAAAGTATTGCTGGTTATCATGCCCTGTATGGATTGTTTACTGTAAAGTTAAGTTAATCAAACAAAATTTGTTAGGTCATTTCAGTACCTCTTTATAGATAAAGAAATGATAAGCATAATTTCAAAATAGTTAACAGTTAACTTCTGGAGTTAATAAATGGTTTGTAAAATCTCTCATCACAAGCTTATAAATCAAAGAGAGAGGCATTAAATACTGATCATCTATGAGTAACTCTTCATGAGTACAACTGTGTTCAGAGCTCTACAGTTCTTCATTATTCTTCAGTTGTTGTCTATCCTTGGTGAAAGTCATTGGTAAGTATTTCATACTTAGCTAGTAATCAGATCCAGAAGTCATCTTTTGTGCGGTATGGAACTGCATTCGAGTCTATTCTACGCTGAAATTTGATTGTTTGAAGGTAGAATTTGTAATGTAACCTGTAACTCTTGATTATAGATGGATATTCACTCGAAGTAGCTTAATTATGATTTCTTCAAACGCATTTAGTAAGTGTAATAATTAGATTTTTTTGGAAATACAACCATATCAGAGTAAATATTATACTCTATAGTTATAAAATACATTTGGAATATAATTTATTGAATTATTTTTTAGCAACAAGTGTACAGTAATGAAAGGCTATTGATTATATTACAGTGGATTAGATGAAAAGTGATATAGAAAATTCCCGTTTATCTGATGACTGAAATCAGTGTAAGCCTATTGCTTTTCCAAATTAAAAGTATTGAATGCTTCATAGATTATTCTGCGTGTGAATGTATGTACAAATAAGTCACCTTAACTATGAATTCAGGGTGAACTTACGTATCTTTTACATTCTTGAAATCTGCTTTGTGATTCCGCATAAACAAGAAAAATGAATCATATGCTAGTTGAATTACTTTAATCATCATTCTAGTTAACTTACATTCTAAAATAAATAACTTCACAACTGTGTTTCTTTAGAATCATTGCTTATTGATTAATATAAAAGTCGATGCCGAATTCCGTAAACATTGATAAGTGAACCAGAAGAATTAGTTCATTTCCAAATCACATTATCCCAAGGACCGATAAAAACCAGATAATATCTGGTTTCCGGAATGTAAGCAGATGTGCATAAATCAATAAAAATAATAAACAATCCAGGTCGTCATTGAATAACATAAAAACAATTAATAGAATTATTTCTCAGTAAAATGTTCCATCAATCCAATATTTGTTTGTATCCAGTTTCATCAGAACACTTCAAGTGACATTCTCACTCGCATAACATTCCCACTAATATAAATAAAAAAAATATATTATTTACCAAGTCAATTTTTTCATTATTTTCAATTTTTTTTAATGTTGAACACTTGAACAAATATTATGCATATGTAACAAATGAACGTAAACAATCAACCAATTTCGTATCGTTGGTTTATATTATCAGTATAATTTCTCGTCACAAGATGTGATTTAACGTTCGATCACGAAGAATAAAATATGGAGTTTATAGTGCTTTTCTATTGCATTTCATTGAACATAGTATTCTCATACCTATATATTTTAAAAGGAACTGTTCACTTCTATGTAATGGAATATAATTCTTCATTTCACTCAATAATTCTGTGAAAAAACAAGTATTTATTAGAATTGCATAGGCAAACTACTTAATATACTAAAGTAGCGTAAGTGAAATAGTATAAAACATCAAATTGCGCCTATTGATGACACTTGTACTGGTTCATTAGGTAGGTGAAAAGGTGAAATTGTTACACACTGAGTTTAAAATATTCTCTTTTAGATATCCGGTTCGATTCCATTACATTTCCAATTATAGAGCCTACTGGCTCTATTATTTAGAGTAAACGAGTTCAAATAGCCCACTTATTTACGAAATAGCTTTTTTATGAGTCATGAACAACTGCTATTAAGCAAAACTGAGGCACATTTCGTTGAATCTGCTATATCGTTTTTCATTTCATTTTAACGAGATATATTCAAGAGGTGCTGAACTTTTCGTCAACACACCGTTTTTATTGATAGAACAGAGTTTCCAGCATGAACAACTTCTTAAAATAACTCGGAAAATTTACTGCCAAGATTACGACTTTTCAACTTGTAACCCAAAAATGTGCTTATTTTCCTACAAATAAATAAAATGTACCACAGTTTTAATTTATTTACTTTAACGGTGGGAAGAAATAAATGTTTTCTATAAGTTTAATGATATAGATGAACAAATTAAAAAAGCGAAAAAGGCCAGACAAATATGATGATTCTGTGCAAACTGTTATTATTACAGCGCATAAAATGATGAAATTCACTACCTTAAATTAAGATTATTCTTAATTTTAAATTCACTGACAGTTATTTACTGGTATACATGTCCATATTTAAACACGAATTCTTTCTTTAAATTTGGATGAGTTTGATTGGGGTTAGTTTTTAAATTGGATTTATCTATCATATCTGTCAATAATGATTTCTTTATCAACAAAGTGTTTTGATGGATTTTCTTTCGTTTGTTTATGATGAGTTTTGATTGCTTACTTCCGAAACAGAATTCTTTCACTATACATAGGTCAATAATGGACATTTTGTTCGAGCTATAGATGAATCTGTATCTAGAGCAGAACAAATACCAAATATCTATTTTAGGCTAGTCCATGTTTTTCAAAAGTTATGATAAAATGTATCTGAAATCCATGTACAGTAAAGTTGCTCATTACCGGGTTTTCGAAATTTTTTTTAATCTTTACTATCAGTCCACATGAGTTATCATTACATTAACATACGATGAACTCACAATTCATCAAACTTAATTAAACCACAGAAAGACATAGAAACTTAAAAATATACATGCAATGAAACCTAACGACATGTTTAATTTTATTCACTGTAATAACATTTCAGGATTTTATAAGTTGTTGACGGCATTTTCCACTTATCAAATTTGTTATTTAATTATTACAAATAATTGTGTTTTCCTACGTCACTTGAAAACTGTATACATACAAACATTCCCAAAACACGAAAATAATATGTAATCGAGTATTTTTTATAACTGAATGGCATATACTTTTGTATGTTGAACATTTTTTAAAATTATTTTTACCATACTTGTTTATAATAATTTAGGTTCTGAACCTCATCTATCGAAATCTAATGAATTAATCAAATTCGAATCAGAAAATAGTCTTGACCAATCAAAATTACCTAAGTATATGCCACATTCCGATACGACCACAACTTTAGCCAATCGGAATGAAGGAACAGAATCTGAACAGTTAACCCTTCCAAAACATTCACTATCATCTAGTCAAATAAATTATAGTACTAATAACCAAAAAAATGATAACAGCAACAATATTACTTCTATTGATCCTCCCTTAAGTAATGCTTCACAGGAATTACTTACTTTTGTTAGTAATACTGAAAATTGCAATGTAAATAAATCAATTCAGGATAATAGTGGCTGTACAAACTCTAATACTAATCAGCAAACTGAACCATCACAGGCAAAGTGGAATATTTCGCATAATTTTCTTACACATACACCCAGCAGAGTCCATTTTACCTTTTCAAAAAGTATTGATGTTGATGATGAGAATCAAACATCTTTTCGGGGATTATTTAATAAGACATTTCGTCCAAATTTACGACGAGCAGTGTCCGAAGTAAAAGATGTTTATAACCCAGACGATACAGAAGGTTCACTAACTGAGCAACAGCCACAACAACAACAGCAACAGCATCACTCACATCGTATTCAAAATAAATTTCATCGTCATCTCCAACAGCAGCTTCATAATATAAAATTAATATCACATTCAGCATCACGCAGTCACCAACAGTCCACTCTACAGTTGAATTCACATGCTGTTGCCAACCAACCATATTTACAACCTTACAGACTAAATGAATTCACAAACACATTTGAACAAGTATACAATACTCCACAAAAGTTTGATAGTAGTATATTAGAGATACCGGTAGATATGTATAGTGAAAGTAAGTCAGATGATGCATTTTCAAAAATAAATTGGCCTTCTTGTGACTTTAGTCAAATGGATTCTGAGCATTCTATAAATTCAGGCAGAATACATGAGATGAAGGTTAGTGACACTTATAGAGAACGAGATTCACTACTGAACCGAAATATAATTAATAATAATGAAACAAATACTACAGTGCATTCTATGCCACAAAGAACTAACCGTTTAAACGCAGTCAGACGAATGAATACAACTGCAACTGAACAGCATCGACCATTTAGTAATATTGATCGCTTTAATTTTAGGAAGCAAACGAAACAACAACCGAGCAGCTCGAAAACTGAAAATAATGCCAGTATAAATAAAAAATATACTCATGGAACATTAAGTCAGGATAATATCAATGCACCTGCATCCAAACTTCTGGATTCATCTTCTTTAGAATTTGGATCCGATTCCATGCAGTCACGTCCAGTTGCAGCTACAACTCTTTACCGCTCTTCCTCAAGTGGCACACGTAATCCCGAATACATAAACGATATTGAATTTGAACAATCTTCTATTCGCACAGGAGTAGGAGTTTCTAACTCGCCTACAACATTAGCTGATAAGAGTACTGTTACGTCAAATGTTAACAGCTACACAATGGGAATTCTTCAAAACAATGCAACATCCCCAACATCGACAACAACAGTAATTACTTCTTTAGCTAATGGTACCGTAAATGAACCAACTGTAGATCTATTAAAACAAAGTACATCAAGTTATTTAAAAGAACAATTTCAAGCATTTTTTCAACCATCTGATAATAAATTAGCTATGAAATTGTTTGGAAGTAAAAATGCATTGCTTAAAGAAAAACGACGTCAAGTGCAACAGGGGAAATGGGTGATACATCCTTGTAGTAATTTTAGGTAAGTACACATTTAATTTGATATACGTTGTCAATTACATCAAATATACCATAAGCTTGAATTGATTTCTATTCACTGAATATTATTCATAAACGTTCATTGTGACAGTTTTAATTCACTTAATCGCCTATCCTAGATATTTAACAGATTTTTAAGATTATTTCTTGTTTTCAGTTAAGTACTTCAGTGCCTATCAAGTGTGGTTGTTATGAAATTTACGGAATAAATTGTTGATACTGCTATTTTATGTGTATATTACTAAAACAACATAATTGAATTTTATATTCACTCGACTGTTAGATATCACTGATAACATACAGTACACTACTCATAATTTCAAATTGTCTCACTTGGAAATAAATATGATATAAACCTAAAACTTTTTTAAAATTTAGAATGTTTTACTAGTTTCGAAGTTAATAAATCATTTTTTTCTGTATTTTAATGAGTTCTATTTTCTGCATCACTTATCGCAGTTAATCTAAATTAATTTTCTAAACGTACTCAGGAATATATTCGAAGTTAAATGGGCAGAGTTATCAAAAAAATGCTTTCACTTTCCAAAGACATGTACTGATTTAAATAACAAAAACTATTTTTTATCAGTTATTCCCTACAGTAAATGGATATTTTATCATAAGTTAAAAGTGATTGCTTACAGGACACTAAAATCAATCATAGGAATACTTCTGTAGGAGTACAACATTTCTGATGATTCGTAATTGTTGCAATCCAATGAACCATATCGAAGTTATTCAAAATATTGTATTATTAACTGAATGTTTAATCCTGATCGTACTATCAGTTTATTCAGAGTTGATCATGTAAGTAGAACACAAACCCAAAGATGGCTCAATGCGAGAACAATGAAAACTAGGCTTGTTTAAAATTGAATTCAAGATCAATAGTACAATTTTCTGTTCGAGTTTGTCAATGTTCACGGAACTGTAGCGTAAACTTAAATAAACAAAAACAAAATATTTGATTCGCGAATTCGATTTAGAAAATTTTTGACTGAGTGGTGAAAAGTAAGACTAGGAAAAAAGGTTAAATTCCAGATGACTAAGTTATTGATTAATTAAGGCTAGGGTGGGACCAGATTAATCGAAACAATGATCTACCTATATGAATTGGTCAGGCTCAATGTCCAGCTTCTGTTTATAGGTTATCCAATTGTCCTAAAGTTAATTACTTCTTTCCATAATTAATTTGATTCAATCGAACAGTAAAAAATGAGTAGCTTTTATGGTGAATGATTTTTTTCTTGGAAATTGAGTACATGTTAATAGGATCTCTATTATTGCTCTCACTACTTTAATATCAAACACATATTCATTAATATAGGTTACAATTACACGCTAGTAGGCGAACAGCAAATTAATCTGCGTAGGTCAATATTACATAAAAGTAAATATTTGTTAATAATCAAAGCTAAACAAAGATTAAACGAAATGAGTTTTAAAAATCTGTGAGGTTAAAAAAAACTATGGGTCTATTAGAATAAAAAACAAGTTACTTGATGTATGTTTGACTCGTACAGGATTATAATTAAATTGCAAGTAATCTCCTATACATATAAAAGATGTCTGCTTTGTTTCTCATGTTCAACCCTCTTTTTGAACCAGCTGACTAGTAACTTTAAATAAGAAAATACGCATCAATCTTAAATAATACAGTAATGCATTTTAAATGTCAATATTTTAAGTCATTGTACTAGAATTAGTATCGGTTTTCAATCTTATATATATTTATAGAGAAAAATGATTCGCAAATTTCTATTAAATAATTTCTCATAATCACTTTTGTAATTAAAATAGGGATCATTTGTAATAAATCAGAATTACTTTTTTCCGAGAAAATAAAGTACTTTTTGTCATAAATATTATTACTAACAAAAGGATGAGCCAAAAATACATATATCGGTATAAAACAATTCTCGAATAATCCAATTTGTTTTTTTGTCGCTCTCTCTACCTCATAACAGAACGAGAAAATAAACACGACTTATCAAATTATCGAATTCAATTTTCTACGTATATAGTAAACATAAATACTCAAGTTTCATAATATTATTCAAATATTTATCATGTATTCATAATGTATTGAACTATTCAGGTAATAAGCGTTAACATTTAATCCAGAAAAATATTATTTACTATGTATTTTTGTGAGTAATTTTTAAATTTGAAATCCATTTTTGACATTATTCAAATAAATTAATTTACAATGTTCAATCATTTTATAATGATTGCATATTCCAACTATGTGCTACTTCTATAGATTGAACTTTAATGTTTAAGTTTAGGCATTAGTACAAAGTAGCGTCTACATATTTATGCACCACACAAATCATTGAATTTGTATGTTGTTATCTTGGATACTATCAGAGTGTACAAACCGAAATAGGTGGTTTTTTCAAGAAGCCACTTCCCGAGCTTTTCATCTACTTGTCCAATCTACAAGGTAGTGGAGTGACGTGAGGAGAGACGATGATCAACAGTAGTTTCATACACCGTTAGTTTCGTCAGCATCCTGGAATTCACGTGCATTACTGATTTGTAATCAGGATTTTCTGACTCTCCCAGATGAATTCTACGAATCCACCGAGTTATTATGTACAGTGATTTTATTCCAATTGTCTTGTTATTTTTATTCATGCGTTCGGATTTTTAAAACAATATAACAATTTGTTCAATCTATTCTTAACTCTTTTGTACGTTTTGAAATATTTCCTTCAGATACTTTTATATTTGTAATCAAATTCACTTTCAAAAAATATATTTAAATGGCATAATTCAAAAAAGTGTCAATAAATATTATCTAGCAGTTCACACAGTTGAATATGTATTAGGTTTTTTCTATTTTATATTTCCAAACTCAATGCTTTCTTAGGATATTTAAATACAATTCACGATTATAACTTCACAATACAATCAAATGAATGATGTATACACATATCTACTGATAGAAATAATGTCACTTGATTTGTTCTTTACTGCATCAAACTATTTATGAAGAATTTAATTTCGAAAATCATATAAGCCTAGTTCATATTTCTACAAATCTTTTTCATTTATGAATATCTTTACTGATTTGCTTGTTTTTTTACAAATTCCGATTACATGTTCGGTTAGTTGTATAGTAACTTTGGAATATTTTTGTTATTCATCATGTATTCATTGTACAATATGTTTTGACAAGCGTTCAATATCTCACTTTAGCTTATTCTTTGAATACCGTATAAACATTCACAACCAATGAACAATCGCTATTTAATTTATAGTGAGACAACTCTTTCAACGTTAAACATTTCAATCTAATTTAAAGTATATGAGGTTGAATCTCCTTTAAACAAGATATAAAACATTAAATAGTAAATTATTATACGATTTCTCATGAAATAACCGAAATTTTTAGAACTCTGATGTATCATTCTCTTCTTATTCAAAGCGAATTGATTAAACCCGTCCAATTAAATACATATTTTTCCACACAACATAATTGTTTGAGGACATTTTCAAGTTGTTAGTTTCGCTCAAGTTAATTCAAAGCATGATAGCCAAGAAATGATCGATATTTGTCCCCTAACTGGTCGATAAATAATTAAACAATATTCCTCTGAAACTCTCAACACTACTAAATCAATATATAAACTTACTGTAGATCCTCTTATAACTGTGACAAAATCAATCAACTTATTTAACAAAAGGATTATCTCCTTAGATGATAGTTGTTTCAAATTTAAGTAATTGTTTTTAAAATACTGATGAAAATATATTGTTTGAACTTTCAACCCTACACTATACTAAATGTTCTATAGTCCTCTTAGTTATTAACAAAAAAATAGAGGCGATTCAAGTCTCGAGCCGCGCACTCAAACATTACACTCTTAGACGGCGTCTAAAGACTTAATTTTATAGTGCCTCATATTATGAATTATCCATTGTCTAGTGCATCAGTGGTTGCCTAACTTTGGTCTGTTCTTGAAGTAAACCATAAAATCCAGTAATCTCCATAAACTTCCTACACTGAATAATTCTTTTATCTATGTAGGAAAATGTACAAAATAAAAAAATACCTCCTAAACAATTTGAATAATCATTTACTTATCAATTTATGAACCAACCATTATGTTTTGAACATTGAAAAATTACCGATGCTCAATAATGTATCAATTTAAAAATTGCTTTTGATAAATAGATGGCTTCATAAACACTAACCAAAAAAATAAATAAATAAACTAAAAATAAATACAGTTCTACTTTCTCAATCTAATGAAGCAGAAGAAAAAACCGAAATGGCTGAAAGTATAAATATAAGTTTTAATAATAATAATAAAATAAAATAAACAAATAATGCAACATTGAATGATCAGGTGTAAATGCTTATTTATTTATCATTTTCTATACGAAAACATATTCTTTGTAAACATATCAAAAGTGGAAAAACGTGCCATAGCTACTTGATTCAAATATTGCAAAACGAATGAATAAAATTTCAAAAAATGTTCGTCAATCCCTCGAAAATATTGTTGTTGTTTTCTTAAATTGAGAACACAATGGTTAGACGAGGAAGAGGGTAAAGGAAAACGATTATTTACTCGTTATTTTCCGGGCATAAATACAAATAACTAATTTGTTGTTTTTTTCGGGAAATATTTTTATGAAGCATCAATATATATTCATATATAAAAAAAAACCCTGTTTCGTTTTAGAAGTGTAATAGAAGGAACAGATTATTTGAAATATGTGAAATTAAATTGGTTCGAATCAGGTTGCTTTCGAATTTATACAGATAAAAATGCCTAATGCTCTAGTGAGATGTAATAATATCAAAATAAAAAATATTCTGTTTTTATAATACTTGAAAACTTGAATGAACATTTTCCGATACATGGAATTATTTTCATGACTATTAGTTTATTTCCCCATAAATACCTGTTCACTTGATGATACTTTGAACACTTTATTGAGAACCTTATATTTCCATGTATTTATGGT